CTCATTTAATTTTCTTTGAAAAATAGCACTACTGTTTTTAAAACCTTGGGGTAATCTGGTAAATGTGTATAATCCGAGTGCAGATGTGAAAGCCAATTTGTACTGATCTTTAAGTCTTACGGGTATTTGAAAAAATGCACTGTTAAAATCTAATAAACTAAAATATCGTGCATTTTCTAGAGCCCTTAGTAAATCGGCGGTTCTTGGAATTGGGTATAAGTCTGATTGTACTTTGTCATTTAACTCTTTGTATGAGACTACTAATCTATGAGAATTTTTTTCTTTCTTTTTAACTAAAAATGCAGGTGCTCCAAAATTGGAAGTAACTGGTTTTATTATTCCTGCTTCTAAAAGTTTATCTATGTGTTTTTTTAATTCTATTCTTTGTTCTGGTGATATTCTGTGAGGGGCATGAAATTTTGGATCAGTAAAATTTGGTTTCATTTTGATTTCGCAAGGTGTTACATTGGCTGGTTTAATTAAACTATTATCATTGCAAAATAAATGAGTGTATTGTGAGATGAGGTTAATGGCCTGTTTGTGTTGATGATTTGATAGGTGTGGTGAAATATTGATTATGTTACCTTCTTTATCAGTGATGTTTTGTCTGCTTTCGTGTGTTTGTGTACAAGTGTTTAAAATTTTGTCGTTTGAGATTACATTTTTTTCGATGTGATTTTGTGAGTTAATTTCATTGATAATTAAATTTTGGTTTTCAACGTCAATGGAATGATTTTTATTTAAATGTTTGAATATATTTTTCTTTACATTGTCAATGGATTCAAATTCTGTGAAATGAAATGATTGTAAAGGGATATCTTTAGATGGTTTGTTTGTAAGTGTGCCTGGAATCCAATGTGTGTTGTTATCTACATTGTATAATACTACAGGTGGCCGGTTACCTAAGCCATAAATGATTCCCGTCTTATCCGTGTCATTGAAAATGTATGTATCGTGATTGTAATGATTCGCGATGGCTGCTAATTCATCGTCGCTGAACCAATAATTGGGTAAATCAGAGAGTTCTAAGAGTTCTAAAATTTCAAAGACTGATGTGATTTTTTCAGTTTTGCCGTCATTGAGTGCATTTATAATAGCAAAAAATCCACAATTATTTTCACTATAAATATTTTCCCCCTTTTTGTATGATTTAAAAATACTTAAGCTGTCATTATCGTCTTGATTTTGAATATTTACATTATTGGAATTTTTGTTGTCATAAAATTGCTTTATAGTGTTAATAACTGAGGTGTGTTCTTCAGTTTGCCAATTATTAGTGATATATTCGGAGTTTTTGTGACAAATTAATACATTAATACTAGTATTTAAGAAAGTAGAACAGATCATTTGTTTGACTATTGTCCATTCTTTTCTGTCTAGGCCTGATGCTATTCTAGGCATTGCAATGTGCATATCATGATGTTTTATTAATTGAATTTTTAAATTATTTAATGCTTTTTCAATGTTTTCGTATTCTGGTTTTTCGAAATGATAATTTTTTGTAATTAAGAAATAAATAATTCTGCCATTGGTGCAGACCGGAATAGCATCACCTATTTTTGGATTTAATTTGTATAAAATTGATGCCATGTTACCATATTTGTGACAAATATTTAAGGCTAAGCCTTTACTCATTTTAAGGTCAGCAGAAATGCAATGTGCTATTGAATAATAATCATCAACAGTGAATAAGTCTATTATTTGTTCAGAGAAATTAGAGTTAACTTGATTAAGAATTAAATTATTATCAAGAGAGATGGGTACTTGTATTTGTTCTTTTAAAAACATTGTACGTTTATCGAAGTCTATGATACCGTTATGTTTATCTAAAAATTCATTACCAAGAATAATCATGCAAGATAAGTTTTTTACAACAAATACTTTAATGTTAAAGTCTACTGATTCAATGTTCAAAGTGATATTTGTTGTGCCTAAAATATTCAATGGTGTGTTATCAGGACCACATATATTCGAAAAACATTGTTTTTTGATCTGATTATTTGGGATTAAAGTGTGTGTTACGCAGCAAATGTTTGAACCTGTGTCTATTGTGATAGGTATTTTAATATTATTAAATAAAGCATAAAAATGTAAAGCGACAGGCATGCGATTGTCATGTGCGACGTTGTTGATAATGTTGTGTGCTGGTTTAGAAGGTGAACGGTTTTGTTCAGCACTACCGTTTAACCTAGAGATTAGTTTTTTGGATTATTGGAACAATCACGTGCTGTATGACCCATAAGATCACACAATTGACATTTTGTATTATTAGGATTGAAAAAACAATTTATTGAATTATGGTTGCTTTTAGTACAAAAATTACACTTAGAAGTATTTGAATTATAATTGCTATTTTGAAAGTTATTATTATTACTTTGAATGTTATCCCTTTGATCAAACTGAGATGAAAATCTTTGTTGAGAATTGTTTTTAAATTGTGATGAATTGCGAATAGTGTTTCTGAAATTATTATTATTATTAGGCGAATTATTGTTGCGGTTGTAATTATTATATGCATATTGCTTCTGAAATTGGTTATCTAATAAAAAGTTGGTTTTAGAATTATTATTTTGGAATTGTTTATTACTGTAGTGCGGAGAGTTGTTGTCAAATTTATTACTATTTTGAAATTGATTTTTAATACGTGAATTGTAATTGTTACTTTGAGATTGATTATTATTTTGAAATTGCCTGTTATTAGGTATAAGATTAATATGTTCATTAAAAAATTGTTCTTTGAAATTTTTAAATTCTTCAATTAAATTTTTTAAGTCATCATTTTCATTATTTTGAGTAATTTGATTAATTTTTTCATTTATAATGGATTGCTTTATTTCTGATGGACTCTTAGCTGTCTCTCCAGTAATCATAAATTCAACCACCTCATACTTTTGAATGTTTCTTTTTAACTCGTCTAAATTATTATTATCTAAAATACTGATGTATCTCAGAATGCTTGGCTTGAGACCTTTCATCACATTCCTTACTATTTCACTCGCTGACATATTAGTATCTATTCTCTTACACAAAGCCTCCATGTCATTAATGTAAGCAACTGTCCGTTCATCGTCTAACTGTTTTCTTTTCTCTAGTAAAATACGCAACATATCATTTTGGGCAATGGGTTCAAATTCATCTCTAAATTTTTTCTCTAATTCATTCCATGGTAAATTTAGAGACTCAATATTGTCATAAAAAGTTAGTGCTGGGCCTTGTAAAAATGCAACTAGATAGTGTGGTTTGTCATTATCTGACCAATTATTGATAGACGCGGCTCTATTAAAAGTTTTTAAGAATGAATCTACGCGTTCATTAATTCCGCCGGAAAAGATAGTTGGTTTGAAAAATAAATTTTTGTTCATATTAAAATTATTAATTACTTTTGGTGAATTTGAATCCTGATTAGAAATATTTTTGACGGTAGCTTGCGTTGAGTTTTTAGGTAAAAAATGCCAAAATAATCTTATTTTTAATTCTGGTACAGTACCTGTTGTGGGTAATTTTCTATTCTCAAGTTCTTTAATAAGCTCAGATTTTTTTAGACGATTAATCCACTCTAATGTTTTTTTATGTTCTTCTGGGATGCCTTGTATTTCAATCACTTCAATTTCCTCTGTCATAATTTTCAATGTTCACTTTCTCAAAAGAATTTTACTTTATTCACTTATACTCTCTCTTTGCATTAAAATTCATGAATGACTGATTTTAATTTATACGAAAAGTTTTTAGTAATAAATTCAATTTTTATGGGCAAAAGTATGCGCAAAAAAATTTTTTAATAGTAAACGCGATTAAATAAATTCAATTTTTTTAAGTAATTTAATTTACGCGCAGTATAAATAATTTTGTTTTTATAAATTCAAATATGCGCAATATAATTTTTCAATAATAATCGCAAAATATTTTCAAAAATTCTTTTTATATTTCTAATGTACGCGCAAGATAAATTTAATTTTTTTTTTTTTTTTTTTTTTTTTAAAAAAAGCGCGATTTAATCTTCAATGAATTCAATTTTTAAAATGATTTCAAATTTTTAATTTACGCGCAATTAAGAAGCACGATTTAATTATTTAGTAAATACAAATATGCGCAATATGATAATCAATAGAAAGCGCAATAATTTTTTAATAAAATATCATTTTTTTAATAAGGGCGCGATTTAATTTTCAATGAATTCAATTTGCAAAATAATTTCAAATTTAACTTACGCGCAGTTAATAAGCGCGATTTAAACAATTTTTAATTTTTTTTAAAGAAACAATTCTCAACCTATATTTATTTAGGCAAATAATCCCAATTCAAATATATTCTGAGTAAAAATTTTTTTTTTTTTTTTTATTAAAAGCCCTTAGTAAAATTTACTAAGCCTGTTGTTGGGCGCCACTTTGTTATAATTCAAATAACAAAAATAAAATAAAAATAAAATAAGAGGTTTGGGATATTTGTGCGCGCATGCGGTGATGCGCTGAATCGGGGAAGTGAAGTTCGAGGGCTTATAGGACAACGAAGACAAGTAGATATAGCTGATCTATTGCTCCGAAATCCGTTACTCTAAATTGATTCAAGCTTTATAATTGGGATATTTTAAATTTGACTCACCTCTATGAATTTTCTTTGGATAAAAAGGTGACCACAAACAAAATGACAAACACAATCGATTTTCCTTTTTTTGGTGACAGTCTGACCAGCAACGTCAACAACAAGTTCTTGGATATTTGATTGGTGCCGTTTACTCGAGGATCGCTCAAGTAAAATAAAACGCAGGTAGCAAGCGCGGTGGTTTCAGGACCCAACGCAACCCGAGCCGAACAAGATCGCGACTGAAGTTACTGAATGAGACGAGCCTTTACATGTCCCCTTTTTTCTTTTACCTTATCATTTTGTGGGAGGTGTTGTTGTTGTCGTTTTTTGGTCGATGTCTATTTATTTAATGATTTTAGTGTTACATGATAATCACAATGTTATAGTATGAACAGAGGTTACATAGTAGAGTTTGAGCATCANGTCAATATCCAATGACTCCCATATACATTCATGGGCACAAAAAGTAATTTTATTGTGTGAATATCTTTTTTTATCCATCTTCTTACAGCTGGATAACCTCCTCGAAGATACGCTACAATAAAATCAGTGACAACTGCATAAACTTCACCTTCTGACCGTGTTACTATCATTTTAATGTACTCATTAATTGTGTCTGAAGTATACCAAGATGTAGGCGACTTAAATGAAGGTGCATTATATTGATCAAGAGATTTTGTGTTCTGATCTTGTATTACTTCTGCAAATGTAACCGTATTTAAACATTTTTCATAAATTTAAAAAAAAAATNTTAAACATTTTTCATAAAATTAATAAAAAACTTTGTTGAACAGTTTACAATTAGTTAGGTTTATTTAAGGTTTTGGAATATGAAATTAAACACGTATAATTACTATTGTTTAAAACGTCCATGGACCCCCTTAATAACAAGCCTCTGCAGAGGTTATATTAAATTAACACGTATTATAATTATTAATAATGTTTAATAAATAATCTTTTTTTTATTTTATTTTACTTAAAATAAATAGATTAAATAACTAATTACCTTTTTCTTTCTCTGATACTTTTATTACTTCAATAGTGGACAGAGCAAGTAAATTTACGTCATTCGGCGTATTTAAGGTCAAAGGATTCGAACTAACTTTTGGCTCTAAAATAATTTATGTTTTAAAATATTACACATTTGTTTCAAAAATCAAAATGTTTATTATATTATTTTTTAAAAATGAATTATATTTTAAAAGTTGTATACTTTTTATGACTTTTTCATCTTCTTTTGATGAATTTCGTTTTAAATTTGGTCGAGCAGTAGTATTAGAAGATATCTCAAAAAGNTTTTAAATTTGGTCGAGCAGTAGTATTAGAAGATATCTCAAAAAGTTGTTTTTTTATTTCGGATTTGCGTTCCAAATTTTTCTTATGAAAACTCTTAACAGGTTATAAAAATATATTTAATTATATGATAAATTTATTTAAGAAATCTGCTTTAAGTCCAAAAAATGGTTTAGGGTATACCCTAA